AGTATTTCTTTGTCTTATTTATTAATTTAATTAATAACTGTTACTAATGATTGCGATGATACTGATTAAAAATATCGTAATTAAAATAAAAGCTACGCCTAATTAATCTTGACTAACTTCTTGAATGTTATGTACAGATCTTAAATGGTGTTTAACATAAGAGCGGTCCGTGAACTTTTTCTCGCAAACGTAGCAAGAAAACGGTAATTCCCCCGTGTGTGAATACATATGTCTTCGGAGTTTGTTTTTGGCGGAGAACATTTTTGGGCAGAAATCGCAACCGAATTTTTTAACTGGAACGGGAACTTTTGCGTTCCCTACATCATGGGCCTTCTTCAGGTGTATCTTCAATACGTCATTGCTTTTGTACTCTTTTTCGCAATAATCGCATTTAAAATTTCGCACATTCGAGTGTGTGTAGAAGTGCCGTTGTAGAACAGCCTTGTCTGCAAACTTTTTGTCGCACAAATGACATGCGAAAGGTTTTTCCCCGGTGTGCCGTCTTATATGTGCGTCTATATTTGATTTCATGGCGTACTTCCGGCCGCAGTAAGGACACGTGTACTTCCAAAGACTGCGGTCCGTGTGTACGACAAGTATGTGTGATCTTAGGTAATTTTTCGTGTGGAATCTTTTGGGGCACATCTCACACTGAACGTCTCTGCGGTCTGAATGTAGTTTCTCGTGGTTGAGCATGTCCTTTTTCTGCGTGAATCCCCTGCCGCAGAAACTGCACATATGAACTTTTTCTGTTGAGTGATAACGCTTATGATTTGCCAATTGTAAAGAAGATTTGTATTTTGTTTTACACTGGACACATTCGTAAGGTCTCAGTGTTTCGGGGTCAATGTCGTGGTTGGCAGACACGTGAGCCATTAACTTCTTATATGTCCCTGTGAATTCATTGCAGAGTTCGCATTTGAGGCTTACTTTTCTTTGCTTTTTGCCTTGTAATGGTACTTTTTGTTGAGCTTCTAGAGAATCATTTTGTTCATTGTTAAAATCAGTCATTTCATCAGTATAGTTATTTTTGTTGTTATTTTTCTTTTTGGCGTGCCTTTTGATACCATCGCAATTTGGCGAGTGGATTTTGAGCATTTGAACTGTTGTGTATCTTTTCCCACATTTATCACATGAAAACTGTTTCATTCGTTTCGCGTACGATTTAATATTTATTCGTAAGTTGTGCTCATTAAACAGATGCATTTTTAGCAGTCTTTGGTCATCAAAAGGTTGCTTACACACTTCACATTCTTCAGTACGTAGTACTCTTAGGGTATGCTTGGATTTGATGTGGTGGATGAGTGAATTGCGGGTGTTGTGACATTCGTTACAATGGTAGCATATGAAATTACTGCCTGCATTTGTGTGATGTCTGAGAATGTGCTGATCCAAACTTGATTTAATGGGGTACTTCTTGTGGCAATGTTCACATATGTGCTTCCATTCTTCTTTTTCTGAATGAACAACGAGTTTGTGCTTCGATAGAATTACTGCAGTGTTGTAAGATTTATTGCAGATATCGCAGGTGAAGTTCCTCTGGTTTAAATGTACTTGTTCATGACGTTTCAGTTCTCCACTATGATCGAAGAGTCGCTCACAGAAAAGACAGTTAAAAGGACGTTCTTCTTTGTGTATCTTCTTCTTATGATTGAACAGTAATTTGCGATCTTCAAAAGAGTCTTGACAAATGTTACATTTATATTCTGACAGCAAAGATGAATGTAAAAGGTCTGTTTCGTTTGTACTACTGGTTTCTTCTGCTATGTCTTCAGTTTCAAAATTGGCTGCTGAATCTATAAAAGACTCATTATCACTGAGGTCCTTTTCATGATCAGAATTGTCTGCCAGGTTCCTTTCATGTTTTCGAGTAAGAATCTCATTTGATTTTAAACACTGTTGTTTGAATATATGCAGTTGATTTAATAAATCTGCGCAAGACTTACAAATAAAACCTTTTGTCCATTCCTAAATAGTAAATATAATTAATTTGTTGAACGGAAATAGTTTCAGCTTACTTACCACTTCGGGAACACAAAATTTTAGTTTACTTTTAATATCTGTGCTATTAGAATCTACTTCAAGGGTGCTTATCAGCTGAATATTTTCTTTTAGACATGTGTGACAAACTTCTTCATTCACAATTCTCATTTTTTATATTAATTAAAATCAAAATAAATAAAAGAAGTTTTAAATTTAAGGTTATGTATGAAGTTGTCAACAAACAAGACGAATCTAGTGACTTTTGTTTCGTAACTATTACCAATCCACTTAAAATTTGAAATGAAAATTTCATGATAACAGAAAAACTTGTGTTTAATTTGATATTTATTTATTTTATTTTACTTAACTTCACTTGAACCTTTAATATATGTAAAGTAATTTTATTTTTTTAAGGTCTACGTCTTCTTGGTATTGGAAGAAATGAATACTTGGACTTAATGAATAAAGCAAAATCTCATAGGTCCCGACTTTTTGGCAATCGTAATATTAGACCTTTGCTACCTCAGGTACCTTGTACCATTTACATAGAGCCTTGGTGGAGAGTAGAAGCTGGCCTAATATTGGAAGAAGACATTAAGGTACCTAATTATTAATACAAACATTATTCTTCTTGAAAGTACATTTTTAACTTTTATTTCTCTTTAGATGGTCAGTTCCAACGAACAAGAATTGATCGATAGGTTGATTGATTATGGATCTCAAGCAGCTGGTGAACTTGACCATAATTTAGTGATCAACTTGTATAAGTAAGAACTCAACAATTTTTCACATTTATTAAAAGCAATAAGATGATAGTCATTTTAAAGTAAAAAGGTAATAAATTTCTAAAATTTGCAATTAGGCTATTCTCAATTTTTTCAAAAGTATAGTACAAATTTAATTTTCCAATTTTAACATTTAATGACTCATGTTTGTTTAACAGCTTTACATTAGTTTATTGAAAATAAATACTATTTGTAGTTCTGAGTCATTTCATTATAGTGCAATTTTGTTTGTTATTTATTTATTTTAAATGATCTCTAGGCAGTTACCCTTTATATAATTGCATATTACATATTTACAAGAATTAATTTATCTACTTTCAATTCTTTTTATTATAGGAAAGGATTAGTGTATTTGGATGTACCCATAACGGCAGTAGATAGGATTCAGGTGCCTCCACTACAAGGTTTTGTTATGAATCGGGTGCCCCAGGACAATTTCGAAACGTTACTATACAAAATTTTTGTGTCTATTGATGAACATACAACCGTTGGTGAGGTATGAGATTATTGAATTAGAAAACTATTAATACATGGAAAGTAATTATTATTTTTTTATATAGTTAGCTAGCGTTATTGAGGTGGAAACTGAACTTGTTAAACAAGCCGTTTCTTTGTACTGTCGGCTGCAATTTGCACGAAAATTAGACCCGGAGACAGAACAACAAAGGGCTAAGAGACATCCGTCGTGGAACAATATACCCACTCCTATTAACAGGTAGATAATTAACAGTGATTATTTAATGGATAATGTTGCTAAGTAGTTACATTGATTGGTTTATACTTACCTATAATTTATTTTGTTTTTGGAATTATTTTGCCTCTTCTTTTTTACGGTGTTCCTAGTAATGAAACTACGGTTTTAGATCAGTTTAATTATATTATAATCGACCTTTAATACAACTTTAATGGCTTTTGCTCATCGATAATAGAATAATACAAATAAGTGGGTCATGGTTAAAATTTTCTATATATTTTTGCCTTTTTATCGTATATTTGTACTTTTTTGTCATAGAAAAATTAAAAAAGATTATCTCACAAGCCGTTTCTACCCCTTTTCAAACTCTTCCTCTGTTGCTATTTTATAATTAATGGCTGCAAAAATTAATGCAATTGAAAATACTAGGCAATATAATGTTAAAATTAATAATAAGACAATAATATGCTAATAATTTTAAATAGTAACCAATAATACGTTAAAAATTAAAAATTCTACGAAATAAAGTAAAAATTGAAAATAGTAGACAAGATTAGACTAATAATTGAAATTATGTAAAATGCGTTAATATTTGAGACAATAGTATAATGCAATTAAAAATTCATCCTCGTACCCTAACTAGCAAAAATTTTAGATAAATTATAAGAAATGAAAAATTATCAAAAAAATTAGAATTTTTTACCTCGTAATAATTTAATTAGTATTTAAATCATCAGGCTTTTTAACTTTAATTTTTTCTCTATCTCTAAAGAGGACTTCATTAGATAATCTTTATGTTTCTTTTTCTTATTTCTTCTTAAAGGACTGTGGAAATAACACCATTAACACTGAACTTCGATTCAGTGGTTTTAACTCAGGAACTGCAATCCCCCCGTAGTGAAACTCCCGAGAGTCCATCTTACAATAACAGCTCACTACCTCGCAGTGGCCAAAGGATTGCATTTTTGTTCGATTCGGCCTTAAACGCGCTCCTTATGATGGGTAACTTGTCACCTGTAAGCAAAAAATTACTATTAAATTTTTCATGAAAACCTTTATATTTTAAGATTATTTTATTTTCATTAGGGCTTAAAAAAGCACGCAGTGACAATGTTCGAAGTGGGAAAATTGTGTGATGAAAGTCTGGATAGTTTCCTTGCTGAATTAGAAAAAGTATCAGTATTAGATGCAGAAGGAGAAGGAGAGGCTCGACGTTACTTTGTGCATGCCATTATATTACGATCGACTGTTCTGGCCCTTCGTAAACTGCCCAGTACCGGACTGGACCTTATTAGATTAGAAAGTTTGCATTCCTTGGACGAAACAGTTAAGAATCGGTTAATACAAAAGAAATACAAGTAAATATTTCGTTGTAATCACACAATTATTTTCTTTAATGTAATATTCCTGTAGATTGTTGGTTTCAATGGCTCCCTTAAGTAAAGAGGTTCGTCCAATTTATAGTTTATCCCCTCCTCACTTAGGACCAGCCGTTCCAGAGATAAATTCTATTTGGTTTAAATTTTTCATTTATCATATGACTGGCTATGGACCGCCTTCTCTATTGTTAACAAAAGGTTTATATGACACGTTCATGTTCTTTTAAAAATGATTTTTAGCAAGTGCCTACTAAATTTTTATTTATTTTTTTTTTCTTTTCTAGGTACAATATTAAAAGCACTGCCAAAAATGTTCTTGGGTTTTACAAATTTCCTTGTTTGTACATGGCTTCACGAACCTGCCGTATTACCTCTGGCGAATTTTTCTCATGTAAACGCTGCATTACAATATTCTCCGGTGCTATTACAAGCCTACGGCGTCCATCAACCTGCGAAAACACATATCGTACCGTTTCCGTTTAGGCCAGACACTCCTACCAAAGGTCAAGGTATGTGTCAATATTTAAAATTAAAATTACTCACAATAAGTATGTTCGGTTTTTATACAGATTTACTTTCCAGGCGAAGCAATAAGCACCCATTTAAAGTGGCAAAATCATCCGGCCGTCAAGAATCTTTCAAATTTTCTTGACTTGAAAAGCAATTGTGGTTATTTGACTTTTGTAAACATTGGGGTCCCAGACTTGGGATGTTCTAAACGTGAACTTACTGTACGATTAAGAAAATCTTCTCAAAAACACATTCCAGGTAATAATAATACAATAAAGTAATTATGTAAATGAGTAGTCTATTTAATACACACTCACATTTTTCATTCAGGATCTGCAAAATTAATTAAATCATCATCTGTTAAAGACAGTTCGTCAAATACGATAGTCCTCCCAACAACCATCAGTAATGAAAATTTCAGTTTTTCTAAGACCAATAAGAACGATTTCACTAAAACTAATCACGACAATGCCAAAGAAAAATCAAAACAAGAAGTAAAAAAGGAGACAAGACGCCTAGAAAGCAGCGAGGACGAAACGCAAAAAACTAATGATGCCATTGACAGGTTGCAGTCACCAGTGGACTCGCACTTTGCGAATTCACCGATGAGTGCTAGTCCACCAGCAAATGGATTTGTCAACGAAGTCTCTACCGATCTTCTAAAAGAGGAGCTAGATCAGTTGAACGATGAAATGGCATCAAAAAAGAATGAAATGTTGTCCCTAAAAGATGAACTGAAAGAGTGCACTTCGTCGTTTGAGAATCTAATGAGCCCCATGGAAGAAAATATTAGTATGTTCACTCGTAACACGAAAAGAGAGAATGGAGAGAAAAATTACCAAGATAGCATCGAGGTAAAAAGTAAAGATTCAACTACTTCACTTTATATTGGAGAGGCAAGTAATGAACTCTTTGAATTTTATACATGTTACTTTAAATATTGCTAACATTTTTAAACTTTTTATGTTGTTAACACGCTTTACTATATAACATTAATGCCCGCTTGATGTCAGTTTTTTATTAACATTAAAACAGATATGGACCCTTTTGGATTGCAATTTCGGCGTGCCACTCTTTGATGTGGATGCTAACACAAAAATTTGCGATGCAATAGTTAGCGGAGGTCTTGCCGAAACACATAGGTGAGAACTTTGTGTTCGTTTTTCTTGCATTTGGCTGTCTTTTGCTGCATAAATATTTAACAATATCTCCCAAAAATTAACTACTGTACTGTATATCTTTCAGTCTTGAAAAGCTGACGGAAACTAGTCAGAAGCTGGGGACTGCTTTATTGGAATTTATATCACAATGCCAGGTACATAATTTGTTTATTTCAAAGCTAGACTTACAGTCTAGTGCCAAATACAGCATTAATCGTTTGCATTTTACAGTTACGCGAATATCTTTATTTTATTTTTAAAATTGAACAATAAAAATATTTTACTTTCATTTAAAAGTATTGATAGTGACTACTGAAAGTTGTTTTATTATATTCTATTAGATAATTCATTTTATTAGGATGATAACATGGACATGAAGAAAAGAGGAGTTTTAATTCCATTGCCTGAGCACTGCCTGGTCTTTGATAATGGAAAAGTTACTGAATGGACTGGTAAATAAGAATTAATAAGGCAACAAGTAGGTTGTTTATATAGTATTTGTTTTTTCTTTATTTGTTTAATTTTTATTTTACTTTTATAGTCTATTGTATCGTTATGATGAATTTTATTTTTATAATTTATAATTGAAGAAAACATTCAAAAAGCAATCGAGGCAATCAGTACTATTTTAGTTTATACAGTTTTATTGCAACTTAGTACTTAATTTTAGGAACATTCCATAAATTTAACTCTTACTTGTTAATTTACTTTTTGTTTTTAAACATGTTATAGTCAAAAAATGTGTAAATTATAACGTAAAAGTAGAATTATTTTTTCTAAAGCCACTAGCAATTACACCAAATAAAACAATCTATATTTCATACTTCTATTTTAATTAAGGTCAATGCCCTACATAAAAACGTTAAATATATACTTCAGAGTAGTTAGTACAGAAATAAATAAAAACAGATGGTATATTAACAGACTGAATACTATATATGATCCTTCTAATTTACAGTTCGCATGTATACTGACTAACTTAATTTTATTTTCGATTTTAGCCGATAAAAACTTAAAAAACAACATAAAATATCTGTTTTTTTTAAATAAGACACGTGAGTGTTAATTCACTTCATTTATTGCTTAATCTTGGATATTAGTTATCATTTATTGATGAATTAAGCAAAAAAATTGACCAAATGCTCGATTTTGTTTCCCAAAAACAACACCGGTAAAATTTTTAAAAGCTAATACGAGAATAATTTAAGTTATTTAAGGGTTTATAATTAAAAGTTATTGGGCAAAAAGTATGACTGATAACAAAATTTAGGTAAGTATATCAATAATTTTTATAATATAATGCTATACTTAAAAATAATTAAATACGTTACAGTACATTGCGATTATCCCTTATATTTCAGTTAACGACTTGTCGAACGTCCCTCGTATTTCATGTAACTGAGCGACATCTCACGGCCGGTAGTCAAACATTACCCATGGGATTTTTTGTATAAGAACTAGCTGTGACTTGTCCTATTTCTGTCAAAACATTATTATTGATGTTTTTTTTACATTTTTTTCGGTTAAGGTCGATGCATGTATAAGAATCAAATTCTAATTTTAGTAGATTTTTGTACATATTATTATTATTACCGCTTAAACTTTAGTAGCTATGGTTGATACCTGTAAACTAGATATAATAATATTTGACTAACGGCCGTGAGATGTCGCTCAGTTACGTGAAATACAAGGGACATTCGACAAGTCGTTAACTAAAATATAAGGGATGATCGCAAAGTACTGTAACTATTTAATTATTTTTAAGTATAGTATTGTATTATAAAAATTATTGATATACTTACCTAAATTTTGTTATCAGTCATACTTTTTGCCCAATAACTTTTAATTATAAACCCTTAAATAACTTAAATTATTCTCGTATTAGCTTTTAAAAATTTTACCGTTGGGAACCAAAATAGAGCATTAGGACAAATTTTTCGCTTAATTCATCAGTAAATGACAACTGATAATGATAATTAATTAATAAATGATATGAACTAGCTGTGGCTTGCTTTATTTTTGAAAAAAAAAAAAATGGTTATTTATGGTGTTCTTAAGCATTTATCGTCTAAAATCGACCCACGTATCCAGCAAAAATTTTTGCTTAACTGGTCCAATCGTTCGATTTTAGTTCATACGTGGGTCGATTTTAGACGAAAAATGCTTAAAAACACCATAAATAACCAATTTTTTTAAAAAATAAAGCAAGCCGCAGCTAGTTCTTATCCTTTATTAATTCATTACCTATATCAGATGCCATTTACTGGCGAATTGAGAGAAAAATTTGTCCTAACGTTCGATTTTCGTTCCCAAAAAATACCCACAGGTAGCTATACATGGGTTATTTTTGGGAACGAAAATCGAACGTTAGGACAAATTTTTCCCTCAATTTGCCAGTAAATGGCAGTTGATGTAGATAATTAATTAATAAAGGATAAGAACTAGCTGCGGCTTGCTTTATTTTTGAAAAAAA